CAGAGCTAATGAATGGCATCAAGCTTTGATCAAAATGCTCTCTGGTTTTAAAATTTCTATGAAGCCAGGATCTTTTTAAACAAGAGTAGGTTTAAAAATAAACATCCATTTAAGCATAGATCATATAATTCATTTAATTATGTAAGTGAAACCCAGAGGAGATAAACAAGACAAATACTTTTTACCTTCTGGGTCTTTTCTCTAAGCCCCACTTCTAGCAGAAAATGGAAAGAACGCGTGGGGGAAAGCAGACAGGTATGATTTTGCTTTCTACCATTTCAGGAAAGCACATTGTTAAACCCCGTGAAGCCAGAAGGTGATGTTTAAGTTCAGTAAAGTGTGAATTTTCATTTATTATCCACACGGTTTTCTTTTCAGAACTAAGAACATGTCTGGCCCTCCCTATGGATTCAAGAAACAGTTTATTTACAAGTAGTGATTGATTTGTGAAAAAATAGGTGGAAATCATACTGAGATTTTTCTCTGCAGATTGAGCTCTGCCTCAGAAACAGGAACACACTAGTAGAAAGCACTTTTTCCTACACTTGTCAACTTCCATGCTCCTCTACAATCCTGCCCCTCCTCCTTCATGTTTTCCTTCTTGCCTGTTCATTGTCTCTAATCTACATTTTTTTTATAATTCCACTTCCTGAAATCCTAGTTTGGCTAGTAAATGGGTTGGGAAGGAGAAGGAGTTGAAAAGTAAAAGTGAGAGTTTCAAGGTATGGACTTGTAGTCAGGGACCTGTAGAAGGACCATTTATTTCTCTTCTTGCCTGCCTCCAACCTCCATCAAATCCTAACTAAGCACAAGGCAAGAATACCAGTGTCTTAGAGTTATTTATCTCCAGATAGGTAAGGGTAAGGACACAGGTAAGGAGAACAATTTGTAGGTCATTGCAGTAATTCTGGTAGTTTAAAATGGTGGTAGCTTGCGCCATGTTATTTGCAATAAGGTTGGAAAAAAGTGTTTGGATTCTTGGTCTATTTTGGAGGACAGAGAAGGCTTTCCTGAAAAATCAGACAAAATGCAGGCAGGGGAGAGTGGGGTCATGGATCACATGTGTGGTCATGTCATAAACTGTGATAGAGAAGACAGTGGACCTGGGGGTTGAGAATAGGAGCTGATTGGGAGCAGTGTGGAACTCTTTAAGTTCCAGCTGTCAAGGGAGAGCTCTTATTTTAATTGGAATCAAGGAAAAATGTCCAGGCTAGAGATGTGCATTTGGAATTTTGGGCACAATTGATGCATTTAAACCACAAGATTAAATGATCTTACTTAGGAGAGACATGTAGATCAACAAGGCAAAAGTTCTGAGGACTGAGAGTCCTGGTACATGCTGACCCTGGAGAAGGGGATTAAGAAAGACTAGCAAAAAGGATTGGAGGAGATTGATGACACAATTCAAACTATAGAAGTTCTTGTTTGAATTGTACTTTGTCTAGCAATTAGAGTTTATGAATATGAATGTGAATTCACTGTGTGCTTTATCTTTCTTTACATCTCCAAAAAAACGATATGCGTAGTTACAGCTTACATACACAGGAGTATGTGTATGTGTATGTGTTCTACTTACAGTGATGCTAAATATATTAACGTGTTTAGGTACATATATAAATTTTAAATTAATACTTTAATTCACTGTTTAATCAATAGAAAAATGATATTAAACCTGTTTCAATTTTCATTATGTATGATTTGCTATATCGTGTATAATGTATTTTGTCTGAAGAAATATTTTCTCCTCCTTCTGGTTTTTATCTGATTGATAGTTGATTCAAGTGTTTGGATTCAGTGTAACTTTCATACCACTGTAAAATAGAGTTTAGTTATATTCTTTTTATCTAGATAATTAAATTATACTCGTAACTTTCCATTTAACTGTTAAAATATATGACATGTTTAAAGAGTAAGGCACTGAATATGTACATGAATTTATGTATAATTAAAATTATTTTGTGGGTGGTGATATTTTTGTCCATACCATACTATTTCATCCTGAACACCAACATTAGCTTTTATTGGGGAAAATGAATCTTTCAGCCTCACTGGGTAAGATGCTCATCATTAAAAGACGTTAGGCAGGGAGTCCATTGGGAGGGAAAAGATGAAAGAGCCATGGGAAATGTCAGGAGAGGAACCCTGGCAAGGAGAAAGGAACCAAAGCAAGATGTGCAGAAGAGAAGGATGGAGTATCCGTGTAGCTCTGTGACAAATTTCAAGAAAATTAGAGGAGCTTAATAAAGGACTTTTATCAGAGTCATTGCATGGCATGATCCAGGGCCATGAATCAAAACAATGGCTGCAGACGTCTCTAAATTTGCTCAGTTGTCTTTTTGCATCAAAATATCCTGAGGCCTTATGACAAATGTTGCAACCTACTGTATCTCAGTGTGCCAAGGAATCTGCATTTTAAAATAAACACTCAAGCCCTGTCCTCATTCCCTAGTAGATTTTATTCCTGCTAAACTTTGAGCATTGGTGATCTAGATTATGAGAAAAGAAAATGTGAGAATGAAATCTTAGAAATATATGTTATAAATTCACATGGAGAGGAGAATCTAAGGGAGTTTGCAGAGTAAGAGCTAATGCAGAAAATATAATGAAAGTCCATAATATTCACAAATAAAGTAGTAGCAAACCACCCGGAGAGAAAAGAAGGAAGACAGTACACACTAGAGGAAAAAAATAATGAACAGGATTGAGGGTATAGAGGCCAGAAACGGTACAATGCAGAAGGAGGAGTCAAGGAAAGAGGAAGATGGAGACTTCATGGCTTGGAGCAGGGCAGGTTTTCAAGAACTAAACAGTGGGTGGCCTCTGAGTGCCCACCAGAACACACACCAGGAAGCAAACTCTAGTGGCAGAAGAGCAGGCCAGCAAACTGCACTGGGTCTGTAGTCCCTCCTGCTTCCTGAGGTCAGAGCTGCATGGGGTCCAACTTCTGCCTCACCCTGGTAAGACATCAATATCTTTAGATAATTGTCACCAAAATAGCACTGGAATTTAGGAAGGACCTTGGTGGGTTGACTTTTCGAGCCTGTCTCAAGGAATAGTTCACAATTTTTGTTCTACAGGCCCCAGTTCCCACCATAGGATGAACCAGGAATACATACAAGTCATACATGGGCTCTACTGTTTCCCTTCTCCTCTTCTTAAGTGCTTAATTAGCATTAAAATATATAATAACTCCTTAAGGTGTATTTTAACAGCTGACATTTAAAATCTCCAAGTAGAAAATGAAAGCCAGTCCTTAAGAGCATCGTCAGTCTAGCCGTGCATTTCTTTGCCTTCATAAGCCTGTCATCCTCATTGACTCCTTGTTGGAACTTCTGAATAGCTGAAACATCCAAGGACATTTCTTTTCATCACTCTTAACAGATACATGAATAATAAATCAAATATGAGGAATATTTATTATATTTTTGCTAAAAGAATAATATTCCCTAAAGATTGTTATTCCCCCCTGAAAAAAATTATTAGAGAAGAGAATACTTAGGTGTTAATTTTTCTTATTGATTTCTAAATTGTTACAGATGAGAAATGGAATTATGGGAATTTGAGTAATTTGCTTGGTAACTGTAGGGGAAATAGCTAGCAAATACTCAACATGGATTTCAAATTGTGGTGCAAAAGCACTTTAAGTATCAGGTATATTTGGTATTTGGAGATAGCCCAGTACAGAGGTGCATGCCTGTAATCCTAGTAGCAAGGGAGGCTAAAGCAGGAGGATCCCAAGTTCAAAGTCAGCCTCAGCAACTTAGTGAGGCCCTATGGAACTTAGTGAGACCCTGTCTCAAAATAAAAAATAAAAAGGGTTGGAGATGTGGTTGAACAACCCTGGGTTCAATCCCTGGTGCAAAAAAAAAAAAAAAAAAGACTTGAATGTAAGGACACATAGGCAGGTTTGTACCAGCCATGACTTGCTCCTCCTCCCTCCTGCACTGGGTTTTGCTGCTTTATTCATTTCTCTGATGGAATACCCCCTTTGTCTTTCCTGCTGAAACTGACCAAAGATGTCTTTGCTTTATGAATCCCTAACTCCCATGACATTCTCCGTCAGGTCCTAGATGATGATTATGAATTTCAATAATCCTTCAGTTAATAATCCATATTAAATTTCTTTAAAGGTCAGATGTGAAACCATAAGGAACAAAAAAGAGTGGTGATAAAGTAATGGAATGAAATTTTTAAGCTATAAAATGCTTTTCCTATTCAATAAAATTAGCCATATGCCCACCTGGCATTAATTTCTTTTCTCCCTATTCTGAATTTTAATACTTATTTCCTTCCTCCAGTGCCATGGGGAAAGTAGAGGAAGTGGTTTTTGAATGCTTGCTGTAATACCAAACACTATTTTAGGTGTGTCACCTGAGTGATCTCTAATCTCATCCATCTCATAGAATTGTTTGGACAACTATTCCCACCCTCCTGATGAGGAAGCTGAAGGCTGCCCAAGATTGCCACCTTAATAAGTGGCAGACCAGGATTTAGTTTGACAATGGCCTGAATGTAAAGTCTCATGCTTTTCTCTCTGGACTCAAGTCCATTAGTAATTAATAGTAATAATAATTTTTGATTACTAATACTTGACATATATAATCATATGGAATCTTACTGGTGGTTGAACAAGAAGTGGATGTATTTAACCTAGTCTTAAAAAAATGCATTTGTCACCTACTTAAAAATTTCTAGGAGTAATAAAGGGGGCCAATGGGAAGGAGAAAAGGAAGGAAAGAAGTGAATACTGAGAAATGAAATTGACCGAGTCTGTTATGTGCACGTATGAATATGTAACAACAGATCCCACTCAGGTATAATTATAATGCATCAATTAAAAAACAAACAGAAAACTGTTAGGATATCATACAAGTCCCTTGGAATAATTCTGATCTGTTTGATAGGGGGTAATGCCACTTGGAGTTCTGTTAATCATCAGCCACCTGGTATTAAATCCTTTCTGCTTTTGGTATAATGTGCCATTATCTTTGCTGTTGCAGTACTGGATACCAGTTTATTTACTATTCACCTGAAAACACAGCCAAAGCAAAAGAAGTTCTCAGCAACATCAATCAACTACAACCTCTGATAGCAACCCATGCCGACCTGCTGCTTAATTCTGCAAGCCAGCGTTCTCCAGACAGCTTGAAGAATTCGTTAAAGATGCTTTCAGAAAAAGTAAGATCCAAATATTCACTATAGAGGGAAAATGAAATCCCCCCCAGTCCCATTGGTCTTGCGTTCTGCGTACATTGCCTTTCATAGCATCTGGAAGTGTAAGAGACTGGGTTAAAAGTGAGCTTCAAAATATCGTCACAGGATCAGAATGAATTGGCCTTGTTCTCTTTTCAAATCTTACCAAGCATTATTTTTTTATTTTATTTTATTTTGTTGTTGTTGTTGTTTTTCCTGGTAAGAAATGAATCCTGTTATTGGTTGGTGGACACTGTCTCTTTTCCTTGGCATCTTTCATTTTCTTTGGCTTATGGTCTTATTAGGTGAATTAAATGAGATTTTGAAAAGTATTTTCTTCTGTTGATCACCTGACGTTTATGCATGCAAAGCCATGCATTTGAGTAAGAATGTCATTTCCTTTGAAAGCAGAACTTTGATGTGGGTTCACACTCTTGGCATGGGGGTAATTCCTCTGCTTCGGTTTGCTCTCTCCAATATTACCTACTGGGAGCAGATTCTAAAGATTTCTGTAAGCATTAGTTATTGTTTGAGACATACATAAGAAACTAAGGCTGGGTATTTGCTCCTGTATGTGCAGAAAGGAAGGGACAGACACTCCATATCAACTTTCATAGCTAATGAGGGCAGCTGTGTGACATAAAGCCAAGGCGGAAAAAGACAAATTATGGGCTGACTTTAAATGTAAAACCAGATGTCATGGAGTCTAATACCAATATGCTCATCCATCACCTCTGCATTCTGACATCTTATAATTTATCTTGAGACACTTATAATGAAACTGACCAACAGAAACTCTTAACATTATAATTCTAGAGTAAGTTAAAAGTATACTTCTTTTACTTCTTTCCAAAGAACAGATTCTTAGAAACCTGGATATTATGTATATCTATAATTTTACTCAGATATTTGGATGTTTAAGAATAGTCACACCTTGCACTTGTGTAGCATTTTAAATTGCATTTTAAATTTTCATACATTTTCTCATAGGAAAAAACTAATACCCATTTTTATTAAAAATTAGCTGGCATCTGTGAAGAAAGGTTAAGTGACTTGCTTAATAAATTAAAAAGACAAAACTCAGAATCTCAAACCTAAGATTGAACTGTAGCATTCTTTCCATGCCATAATACGTGTGTCCATCCTGAAAAGGAAAAAAATAATGACCAAATTTTAGAAGAACATACTTCATGTCAAAGCAAGGGGCTACATGACTTATGCTATCTTGTTTAATCTTCACAATTGTGGGATGCATTTTATCTTCATTTTTTGACTCCAAGAAGTTAAAAACTATTAGAAACCGTAAAACTAGCATAGAATCCAGGAACTGAACAAAACCAGGGATTCAAACCCAGGACTATGTCCTTTATATAATATATATGTTCTGAGTTTTCCTTATTTAAAATATTCAAAAGTCTTTTTATCAGACAAACTCCTTAGCAACAAATATGTATTCTAGTAGTCAACAAATATGTCTTTAGGGCCAAGGGAAAAAAGAAAGAAAAAAAGTAAAGGATTGATGCGTACAGTAAAATAAAATAATATAATTTCATTTTGGTTCATTTCTCTTTTGGATTTGTAGATGAGGTGAGGTTTTTCCGGGCTCACCTAAGCAGAAAATTTTAGCAAATAGCACATCACTGTAATGATTACAGAGCATTATTTATATTCTTCCTGTGCATTGGGCAGGGACTTGTCATCTCATACATCATTTACAACTTGCTGCAGTGATTTCGGGGGTGGGGGGACTTTCTGCTCCTTTAATCCAGCACTGCTCCAACTTTTCCCCCTTTGTTTTCTACAGGGTAGATAAGCTTTGCCTACTAATAAATTTCTCAGCCCTTGAAACTAGGAGGATCTTTTTTAAGTTAAGTTTGCAAGCCATGCATTCTTTTAAGAATTCATGCCTGGAATTTCAGAGAATGATCTAAATTAACAATTTTACATAGTTTATGAAGAAGAGTAGTTCCTGACTTAGAATAAAGTGTGATCCATGAGTTTATTATGAAAAGGAAATAGTTTTAGTGACATCCCAAGTTTAAATTTAATTTAATATTAGTGGAATGTAAGTTTTTAAAGTTTCATTTTTCTAATAACTTTGGGGGATTTTAAAAACTGGATTAGAGAATACATTTTTTTTCTTCATTCATAGTCCCCAGTGTTAAAAAGTAAATTTTACTATTTGTATAAGATATTTTAAAAGTAAATTTTACTATTTGTATTTAAGATATGCACACATACAGATAGTAAAAAGGTTACCAGGATGAAGGAAATTAGCACATCCATCATCTTACACAGTTATTGTGGGTTTTTGTTGTCAGGTGGCTGGGCACGGTGGCACACGCCTGTAATCCCAGTGGCTTGGAGGCTGAGATAGGAGGATTGTGACTTCAGAACTAGCCTCAACCATGGCTAGGTGCTAAGCAACTCAGTGAGACCCTGTCTCTAAATAAAATACAAAATAAGGCTGGGGTTGTGGCTCAGTGGTCCCTGAGTTTAATCCCTGTACCCTCCCCTGCCAAAAAAAGAGAAAAGAAAAAAAAAAAAAGAGGTAACAGGGGAACTTGCTAACATATTCAGGAAATCTCAGAGTAGACAATACTTTTAGATCCTAAAGTAATTCATAGTATCTCTGCTGCTATGAATTAGAGAACCAAAGCGTAGGTCTAAGGTTACAAACAAAATTCCGTCCTTATGAACATTCATTGGTACAAAGAAAGAAACACAATTTACAAAAATTAAAAGTATTTCCTGAATTCATACTGTAAACCAGGCACTATTTCTGACACCAGGGGCACTGGGAGAATAAAAAAAAAAAAAAAAAGACTCTGGACCCTTCTTCACAAGAAATTCATGGTAAGAGTTGTGGTGGTAATGACAATGACTATGACAGGTAGCAGGGTCTTAGCTGAGGCCTAACTCTGCTGCAAGGTATTCACTTTTCACAATTCCACAAAGAAGATACTACTGTTTTCTACACTGTTTCCTCTTAATCTTTTTTTTCTTTTTTATGAATCATGCTTTTATTTATTTTTTAAATTTTTTATGTGTTCTAATTAGTTTTGTATTCTCATTTTACTCTGTTAAGAAAGCTAAGGCAGAGAACCATTAAATAATGTGCTTACAGTTATAGGAGTTGGTTTTCTGACTTCAGATTCTGTGAGCTTAACCATTGTCCTGTCTTTGAATATCCCAGGAGTTTATGATGGACAATTGTACTTGTGTGGTAAAGAACATAAGTGTGATTTCACAATAATAAGTATTTTCTGTAACAGTTTCATGTTCTCATGTACTACCATACCTCCTGATGGAGAATTGGATTTGTTGCATGTTAGTTCTTGCAAATATTAAATAATTTTATAAGTTTCTAACACTTAGCATGCTTTCTCTGAATAATTACAAATGAAAAGACAAAGGATAAGGCAAAATTTTAACATGAAATATTAAAGTTTACTATTAGAATGGGACAAAAATTCATTTTTCTTTTGCTCAGATTAAATTTGTGCTATTTCATGAAAATATATCCAAGGAAAAATGTAAATAAATTCAGGCTGAAAAGAATTGAAAAATGAATGTAGGTAATATATGTTGTTTCTTATGGTTTAGAAATATGTGTGACATTAACTTTCAAATGCCTACTGCTTTCCCCTTTCTATAGAGAGTTATAGGCCTTGTTTAGAAAGTCATTATTGTCCTGATTACTAAAAAGCATCAGTGAGCACTTAATTGTGTATGGTATTGTACTCAGTGCTATATGATAAATACTACATACACATGGTCCTTAACTTTTATAACCCAAGACTTTAAGAATGGTAGTGTGTCACAGTGTTACAATTGTTAAATGGTTAAAAATGCAAATATTAGAGTCTATATTAGAGTATATTTAAGAAATTCTCATAACTAGTATTCTTTCATTTTCAGCATACTCTGCTAAAACACTGTGTGTATTGAAAGAAAAATGAAAAACATTTCATTCTAGAGCTCAAATCAAGATTTTCTTAAGAATTGTTCTGTTTCTATAAGAGCAATGGTAAGAAATTGAAGACACACGTAATATAGAGGAGAATTTTAATTATGTTGATTATTTAGATACAGAATAGGAATTTCATATTGTTTATTCACTTCAACCCTTCCTAAGTCTAACTCAGCACCAAACTTTAATATGGAATTTAATGAGTAAGGATTTTTGGTTTATTATCTATGGTTATAAACTATACATACTAGCGGTCTAAAGGGAACTTGAGAATAACTGGTTTAAGTGAAGATTAAATTTCAGAATCAGAATTTATGCTTTTGCTTCTCATAAATCCTTCCAGGTAGTAAATATTTAATTTATGAAATAATATTATACAATTAACAAAATATGTGTTTATTAGAAAACTTCAGAATCAGAAAAAAGATGAGAAAATAAGATAATGTTAAGAATGAAACTTGTATATAAAATTCATGAAGCAGAACTTCTGTCCATGATAGAGACAAATGGATCCTCCTACCTTGAAGTGTGATAAGACTGGACAAAATGGTTTTTAGCCACTTGAAAATAGGAAACACAGAAAATTAACAAACTATGTAATCCTAAATTGCTGAGCTTACATTCGAAGGCATTTTCCAGGCTGTAGCGCTTGGGAGAAGGAACATAAACAGTATGTTCTCAAATTAAGTAAATAGAGATTAGAATTTGGGAAGTCCAAGATAGCTAGAAATAACAGAGCAGAGCATCAAGAAAAGAGAAATCTTCATATAGATAGAGACTTGTAGTCCTGTAAATGAGTGCCTTTAAATCTTTAGTTCTTGTTCAAGTTTCACGGAGAATAAACTACCCATATTCAAAAAGGAAATACTAAACAGAAACCACTAAAACAGTTCCTAATTGTAAGACAGGGCTAAGAATAATTTATCTTTCTGCCAGCAGAGCAAACGAGATATTCAGGGAATCGAATAGCATCATCACAAGAATATGGCCCTAATAGTAGGGATAAATTAGT